ACCCACAAATGGAATTTCTGGATCGCATGGTAGCTCTACTTTACTTTTTGGAGGAACCTCCACACTATTTTTTAATAGCTGTGGCACCACTTTTCATTCTCTTCCTGATTCAGTTCTCTTTCATACAGCATCTGACCCAGCTGGTCACCCATTGCTTCTGGAAACCTCTGGAAACTTCTCTGTGCCTGAGGGGAGGACCCCTGGCTTCTCTTCTTGGCTCCCTGTGGAGCAGCTCCAGTTGCTTGGTGAACTTTTCTCTGGATATCACCCCTGTTTACTTGTACGTCTGTGTTTGTCTCAGTCCATTTTGGGTTGCTATAACAGAATACCTCAGGTTAATTAATTTGTAAGCCATATATATTTGTTTGGCTTACAGTTCCAGAGGCTGGGAATCCAGGAGCATGGCACGAGCATCTGGGCAGGGCTTCATGCTGCATCATGGCATGGGGGAAGGGAAAGGGAGCTAGTATGACAGAGAGAGGAAGGGTAGAGGCCTCACTAGTCCTTTGATCAGGAGCCTACTCCCATGACAACTAATCACTTCCAGGATGATGACATTAATCTGTTTATAAGGGTGGAATCCTCATGGCCTATTCACTTCCTAAAGGCCCCACCTCTTAATACTATTACCATGGCCATTAAATTTCAACATAAATTTTGGAGGCGACATTCAAGCCACAGCATTGTTCAAAACTGATCTCATGATGTCCTCTCCCTGCCAAGTGTGTTAGTTTGCCGAGCTCCCTGGTAAAGTTCCATAAACTGGGTGACTTTAAGCACCCTAAGTTTATTGTCTCACACAGTTCTGGAAGTTGATCCAGGTGTCACAGGGTTGCTTCCTTCCCATGATTATGAGAGAGAGAGAGATTCTGTTCCATAAGTCTGTCCTGGCTGATGGTGGTTTTTGCATTTCCTGTCCTGTAGAACCATCATCGGATCTCTGCCTTTATCTTCACATGGCATTTTTCGTATGTCCATATCTGTCTCCAGATTTACCCCTTTTATAGGGACATCAATTAAATGGGATTAGGATCTTCCCAATGTCCTCCTTTTGACTAGATGGCCTTTGTAAAGATCTTGTCTTCAAATATTATTTCATTCTGGGTTAGTGGGTGTTAAAAATTTCAATTTGGTTGGGATTGATACATTTCAATGCATAACACTGAACAAAATTGCTTTGTCAAGATATTTTCCATCTCAGTGGCTAGCAGCAATGTCCTCCATGTTGGTCAAGCAGAAACTTGGGCATTGTCTTTACATGTCACTTGCTGTTATCTTAACTTGGGGTCCAAGAGCTCACAGAAATTGGAGGCAAGATTTTGAAGTTGGCTGACAAGCTCTGTGCTACATCTTTAAGTATCTATGACCTTTGTACAAAAGCAATGCATACTAATTTTAGAAAGTTACAGAAAAACATGAAGATAAATTTTATTTTACTGTACAGAATCACTTAATATTTTAATCTTTTCTTTATATAGTTCCTGTATTTTAGTTGTTTACTAGTTAGATCATATTACATATGTAGATACCATATCTCCACAGAATCTTCATGAATAGTTTTAAATAGTGCATACTATTCCATCAAATGAGATACAATATTGACTTAGGTATTTTCTTCTTAACCTGTTATCAAACATACGGGTGTTGCTGTTTTTTGACTTTTATAAATAATACTGAGACAATCTTAGCTATTAATTTCGATTCAGTCAATGATTTCTTCATAATTCAGACATGATTCACCTGGGGGTAAAGGAGAAAGAGAAACACAATGTTTTGAATCAATTTATTAGTGTTAATGAAAGGAAAGCTAAACCTATATAGGTTAACAAGTGTTTTAGGCATTATTTGTAAATAATTACTTTGTTATTTGAAAGTTATTATTCATTGAATTGTTTACGTAGATCATAGTACAGTCTTTAAATTAGCATATATTTGTGATACATAATTACATTCATTTTGTGAATAAATATAGATCGATTGATTGATAGATATTGTATTGATCATCTAATGCCTTTTACCCTTCTTATCTTCACCTCTCCCTTTTTTCCTGGTTCCCTTTTTCCATTTTCTAAACATAGATTTCCTAATCAACATTTTTCTTGTCAGCTCTGCCGTGTAAATCCTTAACAGAGCTAAGCAGAACTTCCTGGGGTGATGGAAGTGTTCTTTATCTGACCTGTCCAGAGTGGTAGCAGTTAGCCAAATGTGACTGCTGGGCACTTGATGTGTAGTTCATGCAGTGGAGGAGCTGAAATTTTTATTTTAGGTTCTGCTAAGTTCAATTTACATTTGAGTAGCTACACGTGTGCTGGGTAGGGCAAGTCTGTAATGACTAAAACACTTTCATAGCCCTTACCTTTTCTTAGTCACTCTTCCGAGTGCTTTACATATCAATGCATTTAATCCTTCTAGTGATTCAGTGAGGTAGACTGTGGTTACTATTGCTGTGTAACTCATTTCTGCAAAGCTTAGTGGCTTAAAACAGCAATTATTGATTTGATTTAAGGATTAACAATTTGGGCCTCTTCACCGGAGACATCTTGTCTTTGCTTCTTGAAGATGGGCCATAATCTGTTTCTAAGCTGACTTAGTTACTGTTTGGCAAGTTAGTGCCCGCTGCTGGTCTCTGTTCACAGGGCAGGCGAGCCGTACTGAGCACGGTGGCTGAGTTCCAAGAACAAGTGCCCGAAATTCAGGAAGAGGAAGTTGTCAGTTTCTTGAGACCGGAGACCAGGAAATTGACAAAGCATCAACCCCAACAAATTCTATTGGGCAAGCAAAGCAACGTATGTATTAGAGGGGGAGATGGAGACTTCACCCTTGAGTGACAGAAGCATCAAAATATTGGGGGTCATGTTTTAAAGTTATCGTAGATGGGGACAGTCATTCGATTTAATTCTACAGATGGGGAAATTGAGCATAGACAAATGAAATTACTTGCTCAAGGTGAGTTGGCTAAGTAGCCAAGCTATAATTTCTGTGAAGCAGTCTGCGTTTTAGCCACAGTGCTATGTTTTATCTCTCTATAACGCATATATTATGGAGAGTTATGATATATAACTCATATATCAAGAATTTAGTTTCAAGACAGGCATGCATGGTGGCACACACCTGGAATCCCAGTGCTCAGGAGGCTAAGGCAGGAAGATCACAAGTTCAAGCCCTGCCTGGATGACTTAGTGACTTTGTGAGATCCTGTCTCAATTGAAAAAGGGCCGGGGGTGTAGCTCAGTGCAAAGGCCCTGGGTTCGATCTCCACCAAAAAAAAAAAAAAAAAAAAAAAGATTCATAGCTTCTTCTGTTTCTTTCATGGTACAATAATTATGAAATGAAGTGGATTATACATGTTTGTGAATCACAAAGCCTTGTAAGTATGTAGTATATGTAAGGGTTTGCTTGATGTCGAATTTATAGTGAAAACACATTTTCAGCTATCTAATCCAGGAGGTGCTGCTTGGCCCCAGTTTTCAGCCCCTGTGCTTTCATTGCCCTTTTCCTGCTGCCTCCTAAAGAACTTAACGCAGACCTAGACCAGATTGAAACGGACCAGCATTCTGAGGAAAACTCCTCAAGTCTTTACTTATTCCCATTGTATGGAGAATTCACTGGTGAAATCAGTCAGTCAATCAACCAATCAGTCAGTCAAACATTTAGAACTTTAAATGAAGTTCAACAAATGTTTCTGGTTTTTACTGATAGTAAAGCTTGAAGTTAAACCCTAATTTAGATGGTAGATTTATTGCATATATTTAGGGATGGATACATATACATATACATACACACGTGTCATCTGGATTCTTGGCCACATATAACATGAAAATTATATGTGGGCTAGTTTCTAGGATAAAATAAAATATAAGTTTATTATAGGAAAGAAACATAGACACACCTGACATATGTGTCAGAGCACAGTGCTGGACAAAATACACATCCCCATCTCCTATTTATAGGGTCTCACCCTAGTTTCCCACACATTCTGCTTGTTTTCTGTCAGGCAGCTGCTTCAGAGTCCTGCTAGCTCCCTGCCTCAGTTATTTACCTGCGCTCTGGAGTCAGACTGTGTAAGTTGAAATCTGTCTCTGTAAGTTCACTCTTTGGCTTTGAGCAAGTGATTTAGTCTGCTTTGAAGTCCTGTTAGCGCCCCACCTCACATGCACACAGCCGCGTGTTGCTTAATGATGGGGATATATTCTGAGAAATATTTCATTAGGTGATAGTGTATTTGCACACTGCGGTGTTACAGCCTATCGCACACTGGGGTTATAAGGAGCAGCTTGTTCCTGCGAGGCGCCAAACCTGTGCAGCATGTTACTTGTGTTAGTCAGTTTTCCTGATGCTGGTGCAAAATACTCAGTGCACACAACTTAAAAGAGAAAAGATTTACAGTATTTGGGCTCATGGTTTTGGAGTGTTTAGTCCGTAGTTGTGTGGCTGCAAAGCAGAAGCATGGGAGAGGAGTGTGGTGGAGCAAAGCTACTTAGTTCGTGTTAACTGGGAAGCAGAATAAGAGAACAGCACCAGTGAGAGAAATATCCTCCAAAGACATACCTCAGGTGAGCCACCTCCTAACAGCACATTCAGCTGTGAACATCAGTGGGTTAATCCAGCTATGAGTACAGCACCCCATGATCCAATCACCTTTCTATGAGTTACATAATCCAGTCAGATTGACAGTTAAGCTTAATTATCACATTACTGTACTGACTACCATAGGCAGTTATCACAGTTGGTAAGTATCTGTGTTCTGAAACGTAGAAAAGGCACAGCGAAAATACTAGGTGATAGAAATTCTTAAGCTTCATTACAGTCGTAGGATCCACTCTCATATATGTGGTCCATTGATGATCAAAGTGTCATTATGCAGCGTGTGCCCGTACTGCGTATAGTTTCTTGGGAGAGAAATGAGAAAAAAATTTAAAGGTTGTTTCAAATTCCAGAAGTTGCCTGATAAACTAATGAATACAACTTTCACAAACTGAAGGAAACAGTTTCCCTCCCAGGTCAAAGCCGATGGATTTGTCCCTGTGAGCGAGAGGTGGCCCTTGGTTCCATGGCTTCTGATTTGCAGATTAAGCTCCTGTTTGATACTGTTGGCTGCCATGGTGAGCTCTGCTCATTTCATACTATTTTTCCTCATTGTAATTATGACAATGCTGATTCTTTTCTTACCAAATATTCTTGAGAAATGTTATGTTCAGTGTCTCTAGCTTTCCAATTTCTGCGTCTCTTAAGCGGTATCTCTGGATCATCTCGATGTAGAAAGCCCCGTGCTGTCACTTCAGAATCAGAATGTTGCAAATGCTAAGTTCACTTCAGCCAGATTCCACATTTGCCTTGAGTCCTTGCCTCTCTGACTCCTCCCGTCTTTGCCGTTTCTCTCCTTATTTGTCCATTTGGTGATGCTTTGTGGATTTTCTGTGCTGTCTGACCTTGCTCTTAGTCGGCCATACCTTATAACTGGGTGCTCCGGGCTCTCTCTGTCTTACTTTCCGAGGCTGCATGGCACTCCCACGGGCCGCTGTGCCACTTGCTTCTGTAGCTACAGCAGATCGTCCCTCTTTCCCAGACCTGCTGCCTCACAGAACAGCTTCCCTCTTCTGCGTACCATTAGACAGCTCCCCAGTGTCTTTTTCTTCCCAGTGACTGAGTGTTCCTTCTGCATCATTTCTCCCCATCTGCCGTGGTCTGGCTGCATGCTGACTTGCTCAGTGCCTGTTTCTGATGCTACCCACAAGCTCTGAGGGGGCAGGGGCTGTACTTTAGGTTGTTCATCGCTCTCCCCAGCTTCCAACAGGGGCCTGTCACATAGTAGGTGTGCAATAAACGATTGATGAATGGGTAAACAAATGCACAGGCTTTTTTAAAAATACTGATACGCTCCCTGATTATTTCCTATTCTTCACACGCTGCATATGTTGCTTTACTAAATCCTCTTAGAACATAAGCTGCATGAGATCTTTGTTTTGCTTAGTGTGATACACTTGCTCCCAAGTACCGAGCATGGTGCTTGTCAAGAAAGTCATGTCTTCATGTGTCTATGACGGGGCCATATTCCATCTGTAGTGCTATGTTACAGAAATGTTTCTAAGTGGTTTTAAAATTTTTTTTTATTTTAAAGAGATAAAACTCAAAACAAGATAATAGGAGAGTAACAATTGTTAATACATTGTGTATTGTTATCTTTAAATTTTATTCACAGTAAAAGATATAGGTATTTAATTGTCCAAACAATATTAGTACAAACCTTTCTTTTCAATGTACTAAGAGAAATTAGTAGTATAACTGTCTTGACTATCTTGTGTGTGTATGTGTATATATATATATATATATTTACTTATTTATTTATTTTGCTTTTCCCTTCCTCTTTCCTTTCTCTCATCCCAGTTTCTCTTTTCTTCTCTATGTTTTACAATATCTATTGTACATTTTGGATCTTACTTACTTTTTCAGCTGCTCACACTAGGGAAACAATGCAGTGTTTGCACATGTGCGTCTGACTTATTTCACTTATAAGTATGGTCTCAAGTTGCATCCATTTACCTATAAAAGTCTCCAGTTTATCCTTCTTTATGGCTGAGTAGTATTCCATTATAAAAAAAGACCACATCTTGTTTATCCCTTCCTCAGTTGATGGGCATTTGGACTGTTTCTAAGATTTAGCTATTAGAAATTCTGCTGCTCTAAACATAGGTGCACATATATCACTGTGGTACAATGTTTTTAATTCTTCTGGGGAGATGGTTCTGAGTGTTTTGCATGCAGTCATTTTTTTCATCTTTACGTTGACCTTGCAAGAGTGGGTGGGTACTTTTAGTGTAAGAAATCAAGATATTGAGATGTTAAGTTGTTGTTCATTGTCACATAGCTGCTAAACGTTGGAGCTGGGTATCCAACCCAGGGTTTCTGCATCTATGCTCTTAACCACTGAGTGCTGTGCTACAGTATCTCGTAATGTTTATGTCCCCCCTAAATACATCACTAAAGGCCTGTACTTGTATTGCATACTGTGTAGGGATTCTCAACAGATGCAGGTGTAATATTTGTTCTCACAAGGTTTAAAAAGCCAGAAGTGGCTCAGGGTAGGACCGAGTATGTGAATGGCAGGGACAAGAGCTTGGGCTGTAGTAGTCCCACCCTGGGCTTCTGATGCTGGTGCTAGGCTGAGGGACCCCCGCTCCAGCGCCCACATTCTCTGTGTGGTCTGGGATTTGGGTAGCAGACAGACACTGATTACATTTTATTTATTTACTAGTATCAGTACCTGCTTGTACATAATGTTTACATTCCTTGTGTGGAGTTCTTACATATATGTAACAAATCTTAATGTCTTTTTAAATCACCCCCCCTTTTCCTCTCCCCTTGCATCTCTCGGTCCCCTTCCCGCTTGAGGAAGATCTGTCTTTCTGCTTCTTACTATCTTTTATTTTGCTCTTTATTTATAATTTGTGTTTCTCGTATAAAAGAAACCACATGATATTTCAGCTTGTGCAGGCACCGATTTAACGTGAACATTTCCCGAGGATCATGAGGGTGTTTGCGCCTCACCGATCTCTAACACGGCCCTGCCCCTTCCTTCTGTAGACAATGGCGGCAGCCACATGTTGCACTCCAGGACAGAGACGACCCCGTCACCCGCGAACAACACTGGGAACGGACACCCGGAGTACATCGCGTATGCGCTTGTCCCAGTGTTCTTCATCATGGGTCTCTTTGGCGTCCTCATCTGTCACCTGCTTAAGAAGAAAGGCTATCGCTGTACCACAGAGGCTGAGCAAGATATCGAACAGGAAAAGGCTGAAAAGATAGGTAAGTAACCTGCATTGTTTTTATTGGTGGGATGGGGGTAGGGAAACAGTTTTTAAATGAGAAGCCGTACATGTATACTTCCTGTCTCTATGAGGCGCATGGAGCCATGTAAACAGCAGTCCGGTGTGGAAGTGGTCCTTTCCCAGCAATCACACCTAGAGTTTGAAACCCTGCTTTCTTGGCTGCCTCATAGGGATTTTCCCGCGCTAGTCGTGTAGCCTGGGGCAACTTACATGTGCTCCGAATCTCTGCTGGGTATAATTCAGCTGAAATTTATTTCTACCTCATGTAATTGGCATTTTAATTTTCTTTGAATGAGGAGGATAATCTCCACTTTGTAGGATGGCTGTGCAGTTTAGAGAGAAGATTCATTAGTGGTTGGCACGCTCGGTAGGGTCTCTCGGTACACATGAGTCCTTACTGTTATGATTGAATCTGATTCTAATACAAGTGGTAGGAAACTAAACAAGTCTCATCATTTCTGCACATTACTTTTGCATTCTGTGGTGTTACATTGTTGTTCTGTCTTGAGTCTGCGTGATTGAAATGTATGTTTATAAAGTAAATGATTGCGGGAACAGTGCAGTAAAGTATGGCAGGAACGAGGGCCTTCTATGAGCAGGAGGGTCCCCTCCTTTCCTCCACCTGGGGTTTTAGGGAGTGTTTGGATAAATCAGAGCCATGAATCCTGTTTTCCTGTCATTTCTTTCCGGTCGTCTTTCCGGGAGGTTGGAAAAACCTCGGGAAAACTTGGGCCTTGAGTATTAGTGGGTAACTCTTCATGTCCTGTTAGCCCCATACAGGCAGTCTTTGCAGAGAGGTGACATTTGGAGTAGGTCACCCACTGAGCAGAACCGTGGGGCGACAGGGAGGAGGTTCCTCATTCCTTGCCAGCTTGCCGGACTGTTTGTCTTTTCCGCCCCCACTGACCTTTGAGGCTGAGGCAGAGCACAGGGGCAGGCTGAGTCATGTGTAAGCTTATGACCAAACCAAAGCTGAGTGTTTGTCAACAGAAAGCGGGGCCTGCCCCTCTGCTCCTTCACTGATGTTTGGATTGGCCATCAGCTTCCAGGCTGTCCTTCTAAACGTGTGCGTTCACGTTGGACAATAGCCAACCTTGGGATGGAGAGGACACTTTCCCAGATAAATGGGTGGCTCCTGCACACCTTGCTTGTTCTTGGTAAATCAGGGTAGAGGTTTCCACCGTCCCCCTTCTTGGTATATTGAAACAAATTATTCAGCTTGGTTTCTGAATGGAGCCTTCATATTTTTTCAAAGACTATCATATTATATTGCTGGTACAGAGTCACCCAGATTAAACTGAGTTTGTGGACAGATAGCCAGGGTCAAAATTTAGATAATTGGGAAGTATATTCAAAAAGATAAAGAGAATTTTACAAATAAGAGTGAATATCTAACTTAAAAAATAAATCAGTACTCTGAAGTTTGTGCAGTAAGCTAGAATTAAAAGCTAAGGAAATTTGCTTCTTGTATTAGCTTTCTTCTTTGCATTTCCTCTAAGGTTGTAAGGAAATGATGTGAAAAATAATAGCAGCCCGGAGTATGTGAACACATCTCTATACTGTTGTAGAAAATGGGTGGATATTTGACCTTGAGAAGAGCTTAATAGACAACTCTGTTACTTTCTTTTTATGTTTGCTATGCCAAAAAGTCAACAACGTGACACTAGAAAGTTCGGGTCTGAAGGCAGAAAGCTAGAATCTCTGCACCACCCATGACCACCAGAGCTTTCTGGAAGCTGTTCCGTGAGGTCTTGGGCACTGAGATTGAATTTCAATATCTAGTTGACTTCCTGCCTGTGAGTGGCCAAGTGTGACCTGTTCCCCCATCCTCTTTTCTCTTTCAGAGCTGAATGACAGCATTAACGAAAATAGTGACACCGTTGGGCAGATTGTCCACTACATCATGAAAAATGAAGGTATGGATATTTTAGTGCTTTAGAGCAATTCAGTATTGTTTTATTGTAAACCTGCTCTGAAGAGTCAGGATTAGCATAGGCTCTCATGGATTTTACCTAAACTCACTAATTCCTAGGCTTCCCACCTTATCCTGCCACGAGGAATTCACACCAGTGCATTTATGAGTACCAGTTGGTCTCAGTGTTGTGGAGATGCTGATGGCTTCTGTTCAAATCCTGGTCTCCCTGCTTCCAAACTGTGTGCAGTTGGGAAGGTCACATTATTCTATGAAGCCTCAGTTTCCTCCTGTGAAACGAGAGTCCTAAGAATATTTACCTCCTAACACTGTTGGAAAATAACACATGAGATGCTCAGTATAAAAATAAGCAGTCAAATATTGTCTGTTACTTTTTTGTGCTTAAAAAATTGTGGTAAAGTGCACATAGAAGTTGCTATTGTAACTGTTTTCAAGCATGGAATTCAGTGGTACTGAGCTCCTCCACAATGTGGCGTAAACATCGCCACAGATAGTTCCAGAACCTTCCCAAACTGTAACCTGTTTGCATGAAGCGCTCACTCCCTACCCCTTCTCCCCCGCCCCCGACAACCACTCCTCCGCTTCCTGTGTCTGTAGATTTGTCTATTCTGTTTCTGTGTTATCTGTTCTTAAGAGTGAAAATGTTTAAAAAGCCTATCCCTTAAAGAATACGTGTCTTTTCCCTGTGAAAGGTAGTCTAACCTTTCATCTTCTTCAATGGAAGCTTCATTTAATTTTAATTAGCTAAATGATGGTCATAGTTCTGACCACTGGTATCTAAAGAACATACTTCCCTGTTTCCAGTCGCTGTTACTAAGTGCCACACATGCCGCTTGGGAAGAACAGAGGCTTATGCGGCTCACGGCTCTGGATGCTGGTGGTCTAAGAGCCTGTTGTCCGCATCTCCGTCTGGTCAGGGCTTTCTCACTGTATCATGACATGCCAGAGGGCCTCACATGGCAGTCAGAGCAGTTGTGTCTGAGAGAGCTCGCTTTCTGACAAAGTCACTCCCTCAGTAACCCATTAATCCATAATGGATGAATCCATTCTGTGTGCAGAGCCCTCATGCCTCAGTCGGCTCCCCAAGGCACCACCTCCAAATACCATATACATAGAACTTTGGAGATTAAGTTCTGACACATGAATTCTGGGGGACCCACCCAAACCAGAGCAGATTCTATGTCCTGAGTAGCTTCTGAGTTGTGGAGAATCCTTGTCACACACTTAATAGCTGTGGATTCTTATGCTTTGAGGTTTTTTTTTTTTCTTAAGACAGGATTTCACTATGCAGTTCAGGCTGGCCTTGAACTCACTTTTTAGCCCAGCCTGCCCTTGAGCTCAGGGCAATCCTCCTGCCTCAGCCTTGTGAGTATGGGGATTACAGGTGTGTGCCATTACACCTGGCCTACTTTCAGTCCTTGTGACAGTTTAAAAGAAAATGTTTTCCCTGGGCTGTCTTCTAATTGGCACTGTGTGACTCATGCGGCTTGCACTGATAGCTCAGAGCCATTTGTCTAAGGGATTAAATCCCTATATATTGAGTAAATACGTGCTTTTCTGCCTGCACCCTTCCCTGTGCAGGTGCCCCCACCCCTGTCTGGCCCAGACTGTTTCTCAGTGTGTTCAGCTCTTGTCTGTTTTACACTTGGAGGACCAGCAATTTCAAATGCTTCAGCATAATTTCCAGTGCTGCTTTTAGAGTGTGCTTTATGTGCTTGATGTAATAACACTCTGAGTGTGTTAGTGTGCTTTATGTGTGTGATCTCATGGAATCCGCAAACCATCACAGAGTTGATACTGTTATACCCATGTTACAGCTGAACAAAGGGTTTCCAAGGGGTTAAATTCACACAGGTAGTGAGCAGCCCATCTCTTTTTGTCTACTTATACCTATTGTGTCCCTGTAAGCCACAGTGTTCCCTGTCCTCTTTTAATTTGCAGCTTTTAATTTCTGCAGTCTGTGGAGATCAGGTAGCCAAACTGTATTCATGGTGGTGCTGTTTTTAAATGTATTTTTAAAAATGTTATCAGTACATGTTATAGTACATAATTATTAAATTTGTCATGGAGAATTGGTACATGTATGTAACACATCTTAATTATTTTTATTTCCTCTCGCCCCTCTTGTTTACAGTTCAAACACATGTCTTTAATTTTGGAAATCAATTTTAGTTCGCGCAAACAGCTGTTGGAGGTTGGATCTATTAGCTGACCTGCTGGGCAAACACGCGCTGTTTTCCTACACCCTCACACCTCGCTTTTGACACAAACTATGTGGGCTTTTTCCACACTAAGCAATTCTCCAGCTCTCCAAACAGCAGCTGGGTGTCCTGCAATTTAACTCATTACTAACTCCTTGTGCCTGGGAGTTGGCGTGCGATCCCTTGGTTAAGGGCTCAGTCCCACAAGACCGTCCGTGCTTTAGATGCCAGTCGCCTCTGGTACTTGTGACCTATGAGATATAAATCATGCAGCTTCCATAGCCTCCTCCTTAGGTTTGGAAATTTGCTAGAATGTTTTCCAGAACTCAGGGAAACATTTTATTACACTTGGTGCATTACAGGGAATGTAGCTCAGGAACCACCAGATGGGAGAGATATGTAGGACAAGGTACTGGGGTGAGGAGTGGGAACACAGCTGGCACACCTCACCTCCGTTCCCCAGTGTGGGTTCAGCAGCCCGGAAGCTCCTGGAATCTTGAGAGTTCCAAAGCTCTAATCCTCCAGAGTTTTTGATGACTGGCCCTACTCTCGCCCATCCCATCAGACTCAGGTATGATCAAACGCCTGCCTTAATGTGAATATCAAGACACTCCCATCCCTCAGGAAGTTCTGAGGTTTTCGAAGCTCTCTGATACACCTGCATGCTGACTGTTTTCCTCCCTCCACTGAGAGTTAGATTAATGCCAGTTCTATCTTTTAACTTGTGAGATGGAGCCAAACTGCATAGCTTTTGGGTCATCTGAGTTCTCTTGCATTATATGGAAGCTTGGAGAGTCCTGGGGAATGCATTCTCTGGCGGGACCTTAACCTGTCTGCAGTAGTAAAGACTGAGAGTACTGCAGTTATTCCTCAGGATGCTTGCTTATCCGCACTAGGCCAGACATCCCTCTGCGAAGTGCTTACCTTGACACTCTGTTTATACTGTGGCAGAGAGGACACCTTTACAACTAATAACACTGCGGGTGCTGTGATGGTTTGTACGCCTGCCCTTCTAACTGTATTCAGCTGTGTCAGTGGGTGGGGGCCTGGACATTGAAGGAGCAGGAAGGAGAGTGGCAGGGTTTAAAGCACCTGCTCTTGGGTGAGATGGACTGGAGATTGTGGCCAAGTCCTTCACTCTACTTCTGTGACCCTGGCCAGTTACCATCTTTAGGCCTCAGTTTCTTTATCTGTAGAATGGTGGTGATAATTCTTATGGTTAGGGTCATTGGAAGAGTCCAGGATGGTAAGGTCTGTAAAGCTTTTAGCTGGTATATAAATTTTAATGATGGCAGTATTAGTTACTGCTTGAGAAATGTGTGGGGTGTATGTGGAGAAGTTTGAGGAAATAGTGGTAGGAGACATAGCAGCCCAATTTTTTTTTTTGCTTGATTTTTACTTTTATGCATATTATCAAGAAGAAAGTCAGGACAAAAATAGAGGAAAAAACTGTAAACTAGAAAATTTCCTTTATTCTTTTGCCCTTTATCTGGCTCCGCCCATTCTGGAGACACCTAGAGAAGGAAGTACAGTTGACAGGATGTTGGCACGTGTCAGAAAACCATGTCTTGGCTTATTGGAATTATGAGTAATATGCAAGGAGCCGAGAGACAGCTGGCTGTCTGTATCCATGAATTCAACCCAAAATCAAAAGTTTTCCAAAAAATTGCATCTCTATTGAACATGTGCATACTTTTTTCTTGTCATTTTTCCCTAAACAACACAGTGTAATTGCTGTTTATAACATTTACATTACATTCAGTAAGATAAGTAATCTAGAGGTGATTTAAAGTATGCAGAAGGATGTACTGGGTTATATGTATGCAAATACTATTTACATAAAGGACTTGAGCTTTTGTGATCTTTGGGAGGCCCTGGAACCATTCTTCTGTGGATACGATAGGCAGCTCTTTATTCAATAGAACTTACTGTTCTTTTCCTATAATTTTATAACTAAATGAAAGCATATGTTTAAGTCCTAATAGTGGTGTCATGTTAAAGATCTTATTACAAGAAGATAGAAATGTTCCCAGGGGACACATTACTGAAGTTTACCCCCTGGTGTAGACTAGGAAGTTAGCCCAGAGGTGGGATATGCGTGTTTGTGCACATATGTGTGTCAGTCCCACATGCCCACCCTCCTCAGACAGTTTGGGTGTGAATGGTATTTGCACAGAAACTGGAGTTTACTCTTAGAAACTTCACTCAGCACAAATGAGCTATTTGCTAATTATTTCTAGGAGACAGGTGAGTCACACGAATTCACGAAATCATGAGAAACACAAGTGTACAAGAAAGAAGCTTGAGTAATGACTATACTATATTTCATATTCCTGGTATCACTTTATAATTTGGTGTTTCATTTTCTAGGCATTCATCATTTTATAGGTGATTAATTTTCTCAGGGAACTATTTAAACTTTCGTTTTTAAGAAGCTCATTATTATAAATGCTGTCTTTGGTATCTATTTCATATCCTGTGCTTTTTTTCTGTTTATAGTTTGGCATTTAGTAAGTGTAAGCTGGAAAATAATTGTATATTTTGTATACAATAAGATACAAAATTGTAGATGGGACTATATATCTGTATTAGTCATTTTTCTGTTACTATATTGAACTACCTGAAGCTGGGAGTTTTATAAAGAGAAGAAGTTGGTTTAGTTCATAGTTTGGGAGTCTGTAGGTCTGAAGTCAGGCAGCTTCATTGATTTGGCTCTGGTGATAGCCCAGATGACTAGGTCACCTCACAGTGGGTGATATCACGGGAGAAGCATGTGCCTAAGGGAAGTCAGACAGCAAGTCATGAGTTGAATTTTTTGTTTTTATGTTTTGGTGCTGGGAATGGGTCCAAGAGCCTCAGCATGTTAAGCAGGTTGTCTGTCTGTTCCTGTACTACATCTCCAGCCCTCTTTTGTGACAGTGTTCTTTTGAGAACCAACCAGCATACTGTGAGAACTGTATCAATTTTTTGTTGTTGGCTTTTTAATTAATTTAATCTAATTTAATTTTATTTTTTGAGACAGGGTCTCACTATGTAGTCCAGGCTGACCTTGAACTCACTGTGTAGCTATGGCTTGTCTCGAATGTACAACAATCCTCCTTCACAGCCTCCCGAGTGCTCGGATTACAGGCATGTACCACCACCCCTAGCTGAGAACTCATCAGTTTCTTCTGAGGGCAGTGCTACCAACGACCCAACCACCTTCTGCTAGGCCCCGCCCACCTCTTAAAGGTCCCACCACCTCCCACATTGCCACACTCAGGATAGTCTTTCAACACGTGAATCTTTGGGGGAGATAAATCACATCCATACTACAGCAACATTTGAACCCTTTACCTGAAAGAAAAATTATTTTCCTGGATCCACTCTATTAGTCAGAAGGGAAAACGACTGCATCATCTTTGTGTATGGGGAGAGATACTGTGGGTCCATGGTTGGTACTTTTGTAATGACAAGAACCTTGTTTTAAGTCAAAACTTGTGTTTGGAAATGAATTTTGACATCCTCGCGGAAGCTTATGAAAGGCAAAGAAAATGTTCCTTTTAGCAAAGAATGGTATGCTGTGTTAACCTTTCCTTCCTTCTTCCCTCCTTCCCTCCATTCCTTCCTTTCTTTTTGAAGTACTGAGGAGTGAACCCTGGGCCTTCTCACCAAGCTACATCCCCATCCCTTTTTAAATGGTTCTAAAATTTTGAGATAAGGTCTCACTAGGTTACTTAGTTACCTATGTGGGACTGGAACTTGCAGTTCTGCTTCAGCCTCCAAAGTGCTGCAGTTACAGGTGTGTACCATCGTGCCCTGCGAATATTTCTTATTAAAAATAATTCATATATTGGGCTGGGGATTTAGCTCAGCGGCACAAGCACCTGGCTGGCAAGTGCAAGGTCCTGAGTTTGATTCCTGGTACCAAAAAAAAAAAAAAAGAGCTTTCCTTAAAAATAATTCATACATTCTCAAGGGCATGCCCCTCAAGAGGATGCAGATTGGATAATGAGAGAGCCAAAAAAATTCTTAGTCTCTTACAACACAGATGTGCACCTAGAACAGAAAAGGACAGATAATGTACCTTTTGCATGATCCTTTCACAACTGGCTGAGAAGGGGAAAATGTGGAAAAAGGTTCCTGGGTGGGGCTAGGAGGAAACCAGGCCGAGAAGCACTGTGTGTAAACCCTTGCGGCTCACCTCTCACACAGAGGTGTTGGAGCTGGAGTTGATTGTCCTCCTCTGGGGCTGTCATCTGAATGTTAAATGGTGGTGGCTGCTAACAGGAAAATAGTGATTTTTGTTTTTTGTTTTTTTATTCTTTTCTCTCTAGAAAATTGGTTGTGGTCAGTCTTGAGAACGTGCTTTAAAGATCAATGGAAAAGATTAGCAGTCAGTAATAGTAATTGGCCTTGCCAGGGAAAGAGCCAGGAGCAGCTGAGCAAGCCTTTATGTACTTGAGGGCGTGGCTGCCCCACGGAGGTGCGGGAAGAAGGGGTGTGGGTGTGGGCAGGGGACCCAAGAAGTTTGGATTCAGTGTACATTTGTTGTGGCCTACCTTCCCCTTCTCCCATGCATTTGTAGTTAAAATTTAAAAAAAAAACATTTGAAGCTAATTTAATTCATCCGATATTACGTAACTTACGTGTTGTGATCAACACTTGAAATTCTCTGTCATCTGTCCAGACTTCAGGGCCTGAATTGTCCCGAATCAGAGCTCAGCCAGCTTGCCCACCTCTCTCCCTTACCCCAGGCCCCAGGACCTCATCCAGGAACTGAAGGAGTTAAGTAGACTGTGTGCTGTTTCCGGCAGCTTTCCTGATACGATAGTGCTGTGACTACCCATTCACCCCATGTTAAGTCTTTCATTTCCTTTTATTCCTCAGCAAATGTGGATGTTTTGAAGGCAATGGTAGCCGACAACAGCCTGGTTGATGCTGAAAGGTGAGTGCCCCTCCCGCAAAGCGGGACATGTTTGCAGTTGTCTGTTGGGCCACGCTGTTTGAAATGGTGCTTGGCAGGAGTAGGCTTCCCAACTTCAGCTGCGTGGATAATGGGGGCCAGGCACCCCTTTGCTGCGGGTACTATCTTATCTGTGCATGGTGCCCCTGGCCTCGCTGCTCACCAGGTGTCAGAGCACTGCCCCTCTTTGCTCCCACAAAGTGTGACAGCCCCAGACGTCTGCACACTGGAGTGTTCCCGAAAGGTCTCTCCCCTGCTCAGAGCTGCTATGTTAGAGATCGGTGTCAGAGGGAGTAAGGCATGGAGGCCAAGAGCAGGAACAGCGCTCTGGCACTGGGAGGCTTTGTTCCTCCCACCTCGTTCCGACCACCGGTTCTTGGGCAAGTTAGCTGACCGTGCTGAGCTCCACTCCATCATCTATAAGGTGGAGGTGACCAAGTGTTGACATCATGAGCTTGCTAGAAGGAATGTGAAGTACTGGGGCACTGAAATACCCTTATGAGTATGGGATTAAATGAAGAATTGGTTTGGGCATACTTGGTACAATTTAATTCTGTATTTCTGGATTTAGGTTATGGTCACTGAGCACCATATTCTTTCATCATTGAGGATGACTGTATAGTTTGCATTTTTCTAATAAGGAGCATTTATTGAGTGTCTACTGAGTGCTGAGTACTATGCTATATGTGGCACTCACAGTCCCTTGCCTAGGAGTAGCTCAGTCTGGGAATGGAGGTGGGCACGCAAGGCCTCGCAGGAGATGGAGCCTGAGCGTGCCACAGGAGAAGCACAGCTGGGGAGTGCAGGCACTCTGGGGGGCCAGCAGAAGGTCGGGGAGGCTTATGAAAGTGGCATCATCTGAAGCAGGTGTTCCCGAGGCAGGGCTGCTTGTAGAAAGAAGAAAGTCCAGGAGAAAAGGGGCAGGAGCACAAGAATATAGGGCGCAGTGGTTGATCTGGGGTGGCCCGAGAATGTACTATGGCAGCAGCAAGAAGGCCAGGAAAGCCTGCTGGGACTGAGACACAGCAAGAGGTTGGGTCCTGTTCTGCTTCATGGTGGGCGTGCACATAGCACATTTTGAATATCAATGCATGAGATGTTGGGTTAGGTAGATGTTGGGTCCTTTGATCGCAGAGAGGTGAGCATGGGGTGTGATTCATAGACGGACACAGACTGTTTGCACACTCTACCCCTGACTGCAGACAGCTAGGGTGAAGACCGTACCAGCCTCCGGTGTTTTTGTCCCTGTCGTCTTTGGGTATCCTGTACTAGCTGTCATCAGGTTTTGTACACAGCTGATATTTGTTTTGTTTTTTTTTTTTTTTTTTTTTTGGTTCTTTTCCAGTACTGGGAATCGAACTCAGGACGTTGCGCTTGCCAGGCAGGCGCTGTGCTGCTGAGCTAAATCCCCAGCCCAACAGCTGATATTTGATAAATGCTTGTGGAATGACTGTAGTTAAAAGCATAAATGCAGCTTCCAACACATGGTATCAAGTTCCCACTGTTTTCTTCTGGGAAGGTCTTGCTGTGGCTTTTTATTTTAATAACATAGGGAACTACAGAGCACCAGGGAACTTTTAATTGGCTGAATGTGGAGACTGTCCCCTCACTCGTGGCCTGAACCTCTTTGAAATGTGTATGGGTCAGGCAGGTGGCGGCAGCCCAAAGCTGATGACTGCCATCGCTGGCCTTCCACATGCCTCTGGGGCTCTTGCTGAGTCTCAGGTATCGGGTTCTGTGACACAGCAGAGGCTGGCGATACCTGGTTAGTCCTGCCCTGTCTTGTTCTAATCCTTCCTCTTCTACGGGCCAGAGCCTGGACAAGTGCTTCTTGAAAGTAGCCAGTATCTGGCCTTTATACACCTGCTTTTTATATTTTGGCTCATCTGACCAAATGCCTTATCCATGATTAAAAGTGGTCTCCATTGTTTTGGAAGCACCATATAGTGTGGTAGGTAAGACTAGTTTCTGCAGTTCAGCTTCCCTAGGTTGGATCTTTTTTTTTTGTTTGTTTGTTTTGGTTTTTCTCCGGTACCGGGAACTGAACTCACGACCTTGAGCTTGCCAGGCCGGTGCTTTGCCGCTGAGCTAAATCCCCAGCCCCGCCTAAGTTGGATCTTGATTCACACTTATTGGCAAGTTACTTAGCTTCTCTAAGCTTCAGTGCCCTCATTTTTATTTCTACTCTTTGTGGTCCTGGGGATCAAAGCCAGGGCCTTGCACATGCTAAGCAAGCGCTTGGCCACTGAGTTATATTCTCCACCCAGGCTCTTTTTTTCTGAAACAGGGTCTCACTGTATAGTTCAGGCTGCCCTTGAACTCACTGTGTGGCACAGGCTGGCCTCAAGCTAGTGACAATCCTCCTGTCTCAGCCTCCCGAGCGCTGGCATTATAGGCATACACTACCATATCTGACCCAGTCTTCCTTTTTCAAGTAAGGAAGTTATTCTTACATCATACGGTTTTATAAAGATTAATTGAATTAATGTAAAATTCTTGGAATGCTGTTAATTTTTATTACTGTTATCAACATCTGTTTTGAGCTTCACTTTTGATAACTTGACCTAAAGCTTTTTTCCTATGATGCAATAGTCAGATTGGATTGAATATTTTTACTATTGTAAATCATCTGACAATTCTGCTGGAATTTAATTTTTTTGTCTTCCAGGGCATAAATGTTCAGGGGATGATCGTGCTAGGGTCCTAGGCAGACACTGGGCTGTGTATGAGAAACTAGTAAGATTGCATGAGAAGGGAGATGCATGTTTTGGAAAGAAACCTAATTCTCCGAAGTCAGTATATTATCATTAGAAGCTATGGTTTATTTTTAGCCAATTAGTTGAATTCTAGAAGTGATAAATCACATTATTATTGTTTGAAATGAGCTGTCCCTGTGTGGTCCTGAGAGCTGAATGCTTGCATCTAAGATCAGTCCACAAAGCCCATTTGTACAATTTTTTCCCCCAATTTAATCCACTTCTTATATTACAGGGAGAGAATGCTCTGCCTAGGATCTCTTTCATGAAGCCCCTGCTACCTTTTCCTTTCTTCTTCCTCTCCACCATAGCCCCCTGACTCCCAGCACCCCTGGAAGCCCTCCTGTGAGTCCTGGGCCCTTGTCGCCAGGAGCCACCCCAGGGAAGCACGTCTGTGGCCACCATCTGCACACTGTGGGCGGAGCTGTCGAGCGGGATGTGTGTCAGCGGTGCAGGCACAAGCGGTGGCACTTCATAAAACCCACCAACAAGTCCAGAGAGGCCCGGCCACGACGCCAAGGGGAAGTCACTGTCCTCTCTGTCGGCAGGTAAGGTCCTTTAGGATGCTCCTGGTTTGCGTGGTTTGCTATGGTGTCCAGATTTGTGCCTAGCATTCAGTGTGGAGCCTGGCTCAGGTCAGACCTGTGGGCTTTTCGATTTTTTCTGAGCTGGACATTTTCAGTAACAGGAGACTCCTAAAAGGCAGCTCTTCTAGCTCAGGAGATGTTTTCATTAAGGGAAATGATTAATTACTTGTAACAGAGCTTAGAACCACAACTATGTACAGACGAGACCTTTCGTTTCATTTATGGAAACCCAAGCAGTGTAGCTGGCTCGTCACGAGATAGTCCTGGGAGTGGCGCAGGTCGCTGTGGCTCACAGTCCGCTCTGAGGATTAATCACTTGGCCACACTTAGCTGCTAGGCGTCCAGGAAATGCCACGTTGCCGTGCGCCAGGGAGAAGAGACTGGATGGATCCGGCACTCTGCAATCTCTGCCGCATCAGATGTGCGGCAGACTTCGGTGACTGCTTGCTGCAGTTTGCCTCCACTGTGCCCTCAGTCCTAACGTACCATTTCCTTGTGAACTGGGATCTTGCAGTTCGAGGGGCACATTACCCCGACGCGAAGCACCTCTGCAGCGCCTGCGGTTGGAGTTCTGAGCTCTTGCAGGAAGCTCGTTGCTGAGGCCACGTTTGGAAAGGCAGGCTGTGCATGCGGGGCACAGGGTGAGCACTGAGAAAAAGCTCTTAGCGCGGCACCTTCTTTTTCTACCCACAAACCTCTGGGCACAGGAGCCTGACTCCTGTGGCCGCCTCGTTTGAGTCCTGGCACCACTGCTCACAAATGTTAGCGGGCTCTGTGCCTCAGCTTCCCGCTGTATAAAGTGAGGGTGACAGTCACACCCACCCCATAGGTTTGCTCTGAAGACTCAGTGAAATGACTCCCGTAGAATTTTTAGGTCTGTTGGGGGCACTTACACACTCAGGTAATACCAGCTGTTACCATTTTAATTCAGTTGGGTTTCATCATGTTGTTGCACAAGCCACAAGAAAACTGAGGATTTGATCCAGCTATTCCTGTTCTGGGTATCTTTCCAGAAGAATTAAAAACATTGTACCACGGCGACATATGTGTACCCATGTTAATAGCACAGCATTTCTAATAGCTTGATCTTGGAAACAACCCAGATGCCCTGCAGCCAAGGAATGGATAAACAAGATGTAATCTTTTTATATAATGGAGTACTACTCAGCCATAAAGAAGGATAAGCTGGAGACTTTTATAGGAAAATGGGTGCAACTTGAGACCATACTCATAAGTGAAATAAATCAGATGCAAATGTGTAGACAGTGTATTGCCTCCCTAGTGTGAGAAACTGAAGGTAAATAAGATCCAAAATGTACAATAGATGTTGTAAAATGGGAAGAAACTTCAAAGGGAAAGAGAAACTGGTTTAGGGGAGTGGAAAAAAGGAGGAAGGGAAAAGCAAAAGGAAAAAAATGTATATATATATATATATATATATACAAAAGATATTTAAAATAATTACTAATTGCTCTCAGTTCATTGAAAAGATAGGTCTGTGCCAGAATTCTTTGGACAGGTACATGCTGATGTCTCGTACTCAGAATAACTAAAGATAACAATGCACAATGTATTAGCCATTGTTACCCTCCTGTCCTACTGTTTTGGAATTTTGTTTGTTTGTTTCTTGTTTTTTGTTTCTTTTTCTTTAAAATAAAAATTTAAAAAAAGAAAGAACTGCGGGCTCTTCCCACTTGCAGCGGCGCAGCACAGCTCATGGCCACAGTGCTGTGTGAAGAGGCAGAGTCATGGGAATTTCTGAAGGCAGATGAAGGAGAACCTGTAGCTGTTCGGACAGAGCACATTTTGTTTGCTTTGGAAAAAAAAAATCTGCTGAAATTTTCAACCTAGATTCAGCATGGCTTTTTAAAATGTCCCCACTCCAGCTCTCTTTTGTGGATACTGGGCCCTGGGAGCATTTAATGATTCCAGGCTGTTTTTCAGCATGAGTTGCTCAAGAGTCTTCCAGTCGGACGGAATAGTTCTGTGTTCACCCCTTTTCTCCTACTCTTTTGCTTTCTCTTCCTCATGCTTGCTGGTCTCATTTTGGACCAAGAGGAAGGGTTTTATTTTATGTCATTTTAAAGAAAATTCAGACCAGAACTAGAAAGAAAATACCTTTGGAAGGCTGTAAGGATTTAAGTATGATGCTGTGGATAATTACTCAATTCTTAAGGAAAATCTCTCCCTTCTTTAATTTTTTCCTGAATGTTTATTGAAAACTTTATCTTTAAAAAACAGACAGAAACAAACCCTCAAACCCTACTACCAGCTAGTACTGAAAGAATGCATTGTTGGGGCTGTCCTCTGTGTGTCGTGCACCCATGTATACACTGAGCTAAAACTATCTGACAGGTGTGTGTTTTCATGATTTAGGTATCTAGTGACTGTTTTGGTCATAACCAAAACAGTCTAGTTTGTTAACCAGTTATATTTTTCTCCATTCTTCTTTGGTTAAAGAAACTATTTTTAAAATCCATGTCATTATTAGAAACCACTGCCAAGCCTGTTTTATATCTGAATACCTGTATTTTCTGTTGTTTTTTTTGTTTTTTGTTTTTCTTCCAGTACCAGGAATCGAACTCACAACCTTGCACTTGCCAGGCAGGTGCTTTGCCGCTGAGCTAAATCCCCAGCCCCAATACCTGCATTTTCTAATGCACTTTCATACTCTATAAAATAGCCAGTGTAGTCTGTGATGTAGTTGAGTCAAAATGAGCTGGAGGAGTGGACAGGGACAGGGGGATCTGCTGGCCTGAAATGTCGCTCCTCTGGAATATGTTTTTCATTACTGTCCTAACTTTTGGCTGGGTTTGTTAGGGGTCCTCTAGGTGAATACTTTTGATTCACCCATAATTATTGTTTACCGGAAAAGCAAAGCCATCAGACTACTTCTTTTCCCTCCTCAGATTTAGAGTCACCAAAGTGGAACACAAGCCAAACCAGAAGGATCGGAGAAGTTTGATGTCTGTCACTGGGACTGAAAGTGTCAACGGGGAGGTGCCTGTGACTCCGGTGAAGAGAGACCGAAGCGGCACAGAGTAGCAGGTGAGCTGTGGTCTGGGCAGTTTCGGGTGGGGTGGGGTGGTGGGGAGAAGGTCCTGACAGCCTCCCGTGCTCAGTCTGTGCAGCGTGGGAATGACAAGCTTTGCTAGACGTGGTGAGGCTGAGGGGACCGAGTGATTACACGTGTGCTCTCACAGCAGCCACAGACTCAGCGCCGTCAGCGCCTTGGCTCGCAGGACCGTGAGCGTGGGGGTGCAGTGGTACAGCAGTTGGAGTGGTAGGGACCAGAGTGAGCTAGAGACCACGGGGCAAGAAATGAATGTGTCTTCTTATTTAAAAAGGGGGGAGGGGAATCTAGGCGTTTAAGAAGTGAAATCACAGATTGTTAAATGTTGGCAGCTTACTCCGTGTTCTGTAAAAGCCATCTTTCCGGCTGAATCACATGTATTCTTGTCATCATTTCTAGGTAAACTGTGACTTGAAAAAGGCAGGAGCAAGTGAACCAATGCTTCTTCCTTTGAATTGGAAACCAGTTTTCTTTGCTGTGTTACATCAAGGAAAATATCCTCAATAGCAACATTACCCTGAGATACCTTCAGTGGGAACATTACTCTTTCCACCACATATTTTGGAGCAATTAAAAAGCAAGATGAATGCTTCTTGGTTAGGCAAATTTAGTTTCGGAAGATACTGCTTTAATAGAGCAAAGAATACCTATGGTAACTTGATACTGGCTTAGCTTTCATCTTACTCTTTCCTTTCTGTTCCGGTTGAGTTGCATTTACCCTTTTTATGCTTATTATACGTAAAAGGGCAAAGGAGTACACCTGCTCTAAAAGTTCGAGGGAAGCCATTTGGTCCTGCACTTGACAGAAGAGTTTATTTGAATCAGGTGGAGGGGTGGTCAGGCCTGGCCTTGAAGGTACAGGAAAGTTACAGAAGTTGAACATGAGCCCTGTAGTCAGTCCGACAGGTTTAAATCCCACTTTGCTACTCGCTAGCATGGGACTCAGGCAAGATACACCGGCTTGTTATGCCTCACTGGTAAATGCAGAGAATGCTGCCTCGGAGTGGCTGTGAGATTTTGGTGGGGTGACAGGGGACGCCAGGCCTGGCAGCTTGGAAGTGCTCTGTCCGTGTCAGCGCTCTGCTTGTTGTGTGTCAGTCCCCTTGGTCAGTGGAGGGGATGAAGGGTGTTTTGGTTGAAGCTTCTCTAATGATCTGCCAGGCTTAGAGGGGCTGAAGAAGTTCTGGAAGCAAACTGAGGGAGTTCTGTTCCTGAATTCGCTGGGAGCTTCTTAGTGCCAGCTTTTACAGGCTTGCTTTGGGGCGATCTGGTCCTTTCTCCTAGTTTAAGAGGCGCCTCGGGGCTGTCTGTAAAGAGGAGAAGCAGTGTGCAAAAGTCCGTTTTAGGTCTCTGGGCCAGATCCTGGTAACCTTGGCAGGAGGGCCAAGAGGCATGTAGCAAAAAAGGAAGAGGGTGATGAAGTGAACAATAAAGGAAAGTTGGATGAAATCAGTATTCTAGACTTCTAGACTTTGTGTTGATGTATATCTCAGATGTTGTCATTATAAACATCCCCTCATGGGGTTGATACGGTCATCCCACTTTTACAGATGAGGATAGTGATACGTGGAAAGGGTAAGGTATATAGCTGGAAAGAAGAGTCAGGATTTGAACCTGGGTCTCTAACTCCAAGATCAAACACACCCGCATTTCCTTCAACCTACAGCGCCTATGAAGTGGGAGCCTTGATGGTCTCAACTTCATGGTTTAATATTGTAGCCACTCCTCATCTGTGGCTACTTAAAATTAAATAAAACTGAAAAATTCACTTCATACTTGCACTTAGTCACATTCCAAGTATTTAGATGGCTAAGATGTACCATTGGATATTGCTAATATAGATCATTTCTTTCATCACAGGAAGTTTTATTGAGCAGAGGAAGCAATAACTTGGATGTTAGAGTTGGACTGCTGGGTGACAGTGGTAAGCTAGGAAAAAGCATTCTACTTGAAGTCAGGGAGCATTTGTCTGGGAAGAGAAGTGTCTATTCAAGTCTAAGAGGAGGAAGGCCAGCCAGGTTAGCTGCCAGGACAGTATGGCACGCTCGTCAGTGTGTGCGTGGATGGGTCATTACCTTGGCAGGGGGCTGCGAGATGGGGCAGGTTGTTTGTGTAAGAACCTGGCTCAGTCCTGCAGCAACTGCAAAGTGATCCTCTTGTCACACTCCCCCAGGTTAGAGCCTCGCCAAGATCCGGAAAGGTTAAACGAATTAGGATTTCTCACCTGGCTTTCTTGGCCCAAAATCTGTGTATTTGACCATGAAAATTTGATCTAATCATTTGGAGTCCCAACCATACAGGACCTGTTTACAATTTGATATTGTCTAAAGCACACTGTCATCCAGCGGGATTATATAAAAGAGGATTGGAGAACTTCACTGTTTGGAAATTGTACTGTGTGCCCTTACCCTGTACTCTCCTTGAATGTGAAATAAAGGTATTGAGTACACTGATTTAAGGCAAGTGCCTGGGATAGAGGTGGCGCTCCATAGAGGGCATTCATACTGCATTGTGCTGTCTGTCCATATCAGCAGTGCACACACTAGTCCTAGAAAGGACCTTCTCTGAGTGTCTAGCTTGCTGTAATTTTGAAATTAAAAATAACATTTGTCATTATGGGCAAACAGAGAGAATAATATGAATGCCCATGATCCATGATATAAATTAATTATTATACAGCTTTTGGGGTCCTCTGCACCTGGCATACTTTGAAAGGCTGTTCCATGTGTTAACTTATATAATCATATGACTGCAATAGGTAGATGCTAGTTAGTACCTCATTTTGCAGATGAGCATCAGAGTTTGAGCATCTTGTATAGAGGTACCAGGAATAAAGGGATGAGCTTAGAGTCAAACCCCAGCAGCTTGGTATCACAGGCTTCATTCATCTGGGTCAAGGAAAAGCAGGTAGCTGCTCAGGTTGAAACCTGCTGTGGTGATCACATGTGGTTCTTCCAATAGGGCCTAGACTCAGAAAAAAGGAGGAAAGGAATAGTCATTGGCATTTTTAGGAATTATATCTCCATTAAGGTTTTTCCTGCCAGTATGTCCCCTATAAGGACAAGTATATCTGGGATATGTAATGTGACTTGGTTTTTCAGCTGGAACAACTTGAAATTTTTCCTTCTGGATCAGAATCTGTAGTTCTGGGCCGAATCAGATTTGCCCTAGAATGTAGCTGATAAAGTAGTAAAGGGTTGTATGTGTCTTTTCATACAGTTGAATACAGTCTTTGTGGTAGTATTTTCTTCCTGTAAGATATTTTTGTTCAAATTTTTGGATTTTTTGTTAAGCTGTTTAACTGGGTTCCTTTGTTTTACTACAGATTCAAATATTTAAGTGCAAATGCAGATCCACTCGTGGCTTTCTTCCTTCCCTCCCCGATTCTCCCCTTCCCACCCATCCTTCCTCCTTTCTCATTGTTTTAACAGAAACTAGACGTGGTATAGTCAGTCCTCTGTATCCATAGGTTCCACAACCGTGGATTCCACTGTGGATTCAAAATATATTTTTAAAAGTGTGTTGGTCCTGAACATGGGCACATTTTTGGCTTTGTCATTGTTTCCTAAACAATACAGTGTAACAGCTACTTACTTGGTATTTATATTGCATTTTTTTATTGTAAGTAATCTAGAGATGATTTGAGGCTCACGGGAGGGTGTGTGTGTAAGGTTTATGGAAATACTGTGCCATTTTATATAAGGGACTTATATAAGCCACAGCTGTTCATATCCTTGGGGGTTTCCTGGAACCAGTCGTACCAAAGAGTGAGTATTTTAAATAACGTGTCAAGAAGACGGGGCAGGAGTTCTCTTTCCCTCTCTTTGGTTTGCTCTTTTAAAAACAATATCTGTTATTTGTCCTCTCCTCCCCTCATTCTTCTCACCCTGCTTCTTTGCTCTGAGGTTTTTTTTTGTGGTTAGATCTAACTTACACGCTGCCTGATTTATTTTGGCAATGCAGTTAAAATGGTTTCTTTTTTTTCCACAGAAAATGTGTTTTGATTTCTTCTTAGAAGAATAAGCTTTTGTTCTTCAAAGTTAAATAAATCGAATTGCTCTCAGTCTCCAAATGCCACTGCCTTGTCTTCATTGTCACTGGTCTTTTAAAATGATACTGCAGTAGGCATTCAATATTGCATGCCTCTGAAGTGTATGGTCCTTTTTTTCAGTTTTTTCATTGTTTTTTGCTGAAAACACTGCTTTGATAAGTGTTTGTCATATTGAACATGACAATATTTCAAACATTTTCACTTTCAATTTTCAATTTTTGCTCTATTTTAATTGGATTATTCAGATTTTTTTTTTTTGCTACTGAGTTAAGCTCCTTGTAAATTCTGGATTAACCGCTTGTCAGGCACGTGATTTGCATTGTTTTCCCTCATTTTGTAAGGTGTCTTCTCACTGTGTTGTCTCCTTTGCTGTGAGGCAGCTTTTCAGTTTGATATAAGCTCATTCATCTGGTTTTGCCTTTGTTGCCTGTACTCTTGGTGTCATATTTAAAATAATCCATGCCCAGACCAATGTCATGAAGATTTACCCTTGTTTTCCTCTAGTAGTCTTACAGTTAATTTTTTTTATTAAAACAAAAATTAACCAGTAGACAATTCTTTTTATTTTAAATGATTTTATTATTGAGCCTATTATTAATTTTTATTTTAGTAAAAGTTTTTTTTTCTTTTTTTTGTAGTAAAGTGCCTAGGTTTAATTTTAACTGTGCCACTTAAGTACCAATAATTTTAGGCAAGTTGGTTGTCCTTTGCAACCTTGGTGTCCTCCTCTCTAAGAGGGATTGTTGTTAAATGACATGATAGAGGTTTAGTTTTTAAATTGGTCCTTGACATCTGAATGTTCACTACTAGTAAAAATTTTCATGGCATGCTGGGTGGTATTATTTTTTTGGGCCATTTCTCAAGCATCAGCTTTTGGCACTGTGGAGCTCTTTTATACTTCCGAAGAATATAAATGCTTTGGAT